GCTGCAGATGGCTTGCATGGTTCGGTGGCGTTGATATGTTTCCGTTATACTGCGTTGAAGGAAACGTAGAGCTCTCATCGCCCAATGCGGGGCTAGAGTTGTTGGTTGCGCTGGGTGATAGTAATTGCTGGCGCGGATCCAGCGAAGTATAGGAATGAGTCATTGCTGGCTGAGCATTGTACATGTTCAGTGAACCAGTGGTCAGAGTTGACATGTCAACGTTTCCTTGGAAAGACTGGAAATTACTGGTCGCACTGCTGTCGGCGAAATTGAGAGCAGAAAACTCATCAAGGATTTGTCCGCCGAAGTTTGGAGTCGGACATGTGCTGAGATCTTGATAGTTGGGGTCACTCGTGTACCCAGCTTCGGAGCTGAACTGTTCTACTGACTGTTCAGGCGAGATGTTTTGGCCATTTGCGTAGTAGGAGCCTGGGGAAAGGTGGTAGTTTTGCGACGGATTGTAGACATTTGACGGTGGGAATGACATATCTGGATGTAACGACGAGTCGAGAGAAGAACCAATATTAGGTGTGAGGATGGTGTCTTGCCCAGGAGTAGCGGATGAGACCATGGATGCATCGTATACCATGGAAGCAGGTTCCGCAGAGAAGGTAAATGCGCCTTGCGCTTCCGGCATTAGGAAATTGCTGGTAGTAGGTGCGGGATGATAGCCGCTAGCCTGTACATCCTGGAGGTGGCGTTGCTGGCGGCGAGCATCTAGGAAAGGCTGTGTATGAGTATCGACCTGCATCGTTCGTCCGACTGCGCTGGGCGACCAAAAGGCTGACTCAATGGTAGATTGGATCACAGCAATCCACAGAGGGTGGCGACGAACACGATGGTGCGGAGCGGTAACGTGACACTGTATGGCTATTCAGGGTGGCATAGTGCTGCCTGATGGGTTACCAATCCAAGTTATGCGAAAACCACAGTGGCAGAAGAGGAGGGGTAAGTGTCGCAACGCCTTCAGACGTGCAAATGGATTGACTGTAGGGTAAATCGAGACAGAAAAATGTCGCGGCGTGACCGATGGCGAGGGAGGCCAGGCGGCTGGGACCTTGATACCGGTTGGCGATCTGCCTTGTACAGGAGGGGATCCTGGAGCCGTTGTGGCTGGAGGCGGTGCCGGCAGTTCAAGGTGGGACGGGCCTAAGACGGAGAATGAGAAGCTCGGGAGAGAGTGCGAGCAAGTGCCAAAAGAACAAGGCAAGTCTCCGAAGAGGAGTCGGTTGGCGGAAACAGGGTGAAATTCGAAGTAGACAGTGGAGCCAGCCGCAGCAACGTGGGAAAGTAAGAGGAGCCGGTCAAGGCTGATTCCCCAAGATGTTCAAAATGGTAAGACTGGGGTAGAGGGGAATGCGCGCCAAGCGGGCCTGTGTCCGTGTTTTGGAGGCAATGCGGACGCCGGGTGTCCTGATGGTTGGAAAGCAGTGAGTAACAAGCAGGATGGGTGAAAACAAGCGCGACGATGCGACGGCAGCTGTGAGCTTGACTGGCGCCTCGAGGCAGATTTGGCGATGCGTGACAGGGTCTTGGCAAGCTTGATGCAAACGGCACAGCCTCAGATGCTATACAGAGGCGGGAGCAGGGGGCCGACTATGGAGTGAGCGGGTGGCTATGCCTCCGCCTCAAACCACATGGAGAAATTGGTACTGTGTATGGTCCCGGGCGGCCCTGTTGTGTCCTCGGTCAACAACGACGCCACTCTGGACAGCACTGTATGTTTGGAGCATACGATCAGGTCAACCTTCGCGCTGTCCGCATAACGCTGCCCACCTACCCGCCCGCATACGCTGGCGCTTAGCGGGTCTGCAGCCGCTGCGGGTGCTATATAAAGATATGCCTGGCTTAGCATTGGGCCTCACGGGGAGTGGGTGCCATGGCAGCAGACGCTTCTCGTGGCACGTTGACGGCCTTGAGCCGCTGTCTTGCCTTGCCGATTCGCGCACATGTCCATGTTGCGATGCGCGATGCGATGACATTGCATCGGCGCCATCAGCCACGCACGGGCATGAAGCCTCTCTAGCTACGTCGCGAGCGGGTGAGGTATTACATAGTTCGTCGCTGAGCCCCGGTTTCGTCGAGCGAATGGCGAAATACTAGCGGCTGATGGTGGGGCCTGTCGGAAGGATGGCAAGACGGCCTGTTGTCTTGAGTAGTAGACTACTACGCACTGCTGTGGTTCCAGCCAGGTGGTTTCGAGCATGTCAGCCTTCAAGCAGTAAACTTTGGCAAGTGTCATGAAAGCGGAAGCCACATTGTGAGATGCCTTGAAACACACTGCTGGCGAGGTGGCATGCAATTCCAGGCAGTGCAGATGCCGAGTTGCCGGCCTGCCATTGGTGGAATTCTGTATCAGGCCGGCACACAGTTGCTCGCCAATTCGCGCCCACGTATAAATAGAGTGGAGAGGTCGGAGAGAGGAAGGTGTACTACAGCAGAGCAGAGCCCAAGGTATAGATACGGTATCGTGGCATGGTGCCTCAGTCTGCTGAGGGATGCAAGGTACCCGCAGCCTTCCCAAGTTTGGCTTTTCAAAGAAGAAGCTGACGTCATTGTGAATGTCGATGTGGTGATGATGGTGATGGTGTTGATATTATTTGAGGCTGCTTATCTTGTACCGTGTTTGTCTGTGCAGAGTGTGCATATGTAGGTAGAGTATGTCTGGTTCGGTTCAGTACAACCATGGCGCAGGATTGGCATTGAAGCAGCTCGGACCGCATCTCGGGTACATATTAGCTAAAGTGGAACGCATGATTTGATTCAAGATGCTTGTGTTTGCAATCGAGCAGTGCAATCTGGTGCTCTGTCGATGGTTGACCAGATCTATGGCGGCAGGCCAAGCTAACCATATCGGCAGCAAGTCGCACCTTCCATATCGCCGTGCGGGCAGGCGCAACCGGCCCTTCTGCTTTCAGCGGAAACGGCTATCCACCTTCGGCGGAACGGAGGCTAACAGCAACGCATCCACTTTGTCTACTTACCCAACCCAGGTTGCTGTCAAAATGCCACAATTAGTGCCTCTGGTTGCTGCTGCTCGTCTCTCTTCTTCTCCCTTTATCATCTCTGCGAACCATCTGCGACAGTCCAGTATTCGCCACTCGCACCATCCCCCGCTTCAGAGAGCTTCTTTTGTATGCAAGCGGCTGCACTTGCATGTGACAGCATCACCAGACTAGCCCAGCACCACAAACAGAGCGCAACAAACTCTCCACTACATTGTGAGCTGTCACAGCACCGACCACGACCGTGTTCCGTCGCTTCGGGCCCGATAGCACTACATCTGGCTTGACAAGAAAAAGAACGGACAGTCTCAGACATAGCACCTTTTCTCGCAACGCCTAAAGTTTTAAACACCGTATTCTGGTCAGCTGCACAGTTCAACACCACGTGCGCTGCATTAATTAAGAGCACCCCATTGCTTCTCTGTACAGTAAACGTCAAGCTTTACAACTACTCAACCTACTCACACTCCAATCATGCCTGGAATCAGCGAAATCATCCCACGGCCCGACTCGAGAGAGCTTCTCCCACCGTTACTCGCCTGTCTAGCAACAGCAAAGGCATCCAAAGACGTGCCTCCAGGTCTTCTTCCTCTTCTCTCGCCCATACTTCGCCAGCGTGTCCAGCTTCTATCCTCTAGCGAGTGGCTTCCGCTGCTGTCTTGGGACCAGGAAGTGGCGTCTCGGCTCCCAGAAGCCATTGAGAAGATCGACGTCGAGCCGCATCCCTCTTCGGGCGAAATCGAGGTTGAGGAGCCAGACGAGATCTTGTATCGAAGATCAGACGCCGAGACACTACATGCAAGATTGGTGTTGGGCGAATATGGAATTATACCTACCTACCTTTGGTGCACAGGCGGTGAAGGGGGAAGTCGCTGGCTGCTGGCGGAGCTGAGAGGGCTAGCAGACGCCGAGGACGGCACAGAGTGGTTCAAGAACGTCGCCGATGCAAATGAAGCTGGCTTCAGGCGAAAGTCTGGCACCGTGAAGAGCAACGGCGTCAAAATCCAGCAAGTGGCCCTTCAGCCAGAAGTGGCCGTAGAGGAAGACGAGGATGATGGCTCATACTGGGCCGCATATGACCAAACTCCTGGGAGAACACCACAACCTAGGCGTTCTCCTGCTCCGATAAGCAATAGCCAAACGCAAGTTGGGCCCACGCAATCAGAACTCGAGTATTTTGCGCGTTACGCTTCCGAGGTCCAGCCAGCACTTGACGCACATGACCCTGATGAAGAAAGCCCAGCTGCAGGAGAGTCTACATTGAATGGTAACGCTCTCAACTACACCCAAACTGAAGCTCTCGACACATCCAACCTCGGACCCAATGGCTACGACTCGTCCGTTGCATCAGCCCACACAAACGGGCTGATGAATGGTAATGGTATCCAAAGTTACGACAGCGCCTTACATCAAATGTCGGTCGACCAAGACCGAGACACGGCGGCCAATGCACTAAACCACCCCCGACCGTCTTCTTCAGCGTCTTCCAACTCGATTGAGAGGCTTGAACAAAAAGCAGAAAGCTCTAGTCAAGCGGAGCTTGCCATCAAGCAGCACATCAGTACAGACATCAAGAGTCTGTTCCGGCTGGCGAGAGCTTCGGGTATTGATAGGGAGGAATTTGAGAGAATTATACAACGAGAACTCGAAGTGTTGCCCATGTTGGAGCAAGAGTAGTTGTAGATGGGGGGGGGGGGGGCGCTAGGAAAATAAGATGAGATTGGATAGTTCAGGAAACACTAAAAGCTCCACGTCATGAGCATTCGGAGGTATTTTGTATGTGTACACATGTGATATGACACTCCAACCTAAAGAAAAGGGTTTCGGTTGACTCTTTTATTTTCATTTCATCATCAACGACCAATTTTGATTTTTTTTTACAAAAGCTGAAGCGGGCCATAGCCAATGCTCCCAATTGAATTTCTACAAATAAAAGTGTCCGTCTCCGATGCCTTGCACATTTCAACTCCGTGCTCTCCGAAACATAGTGCACGTCTACCTCCGTCTCTGGGCCTCGCCGCTCGCGAATTTGGCCCCGCTAGCCTTGAGCTGCTGCAGAATGTCAACGGCATTGGAGCTGTTCAGGTTCAATGTCGTGTCCATATTCGCACTTCCCCTACCAATCTCCTCAACCACATTATTCGGGTCCGCAGCGCCAACGACCGGGATCTCCGACGCGAGCCACTGCTGGAAAGGCTTTGCAACAAAGTAACCATCTTCTGTGAACCAGCGCGTCATTGGCGCGCGAATATGCAGCGTCTGCTTAGGATTCGAAGCGTACGGGGCAGGTGTGAATACGACGTCGCATTCGTAGATGGGAATGTGTTTCTTTGTCCACGACGATATTCGAAGCTTTGGCACCTTTTAGTTCGGTCTCTTCCTGTTAATTCTTTTTGGGAGGTGGTCGAATGCGTACCTTGCCTGTTTTGCCCTCGCCCTCGTACACGAGGCCCTTTTCTACAAACCAGAGCCAGTAGGTGAAGATGCTGTTGAGCACGAAGTAGGCGACTACGGCGGGGAGAGTGAAGGGCTTGCTGGCTTCCCAGCCGAATTTCCAGTCGTAGTAGAAGAGGGCGCCTGCGATGGTGACGGCTGTGTAGCCGAGGACTAATCGTATGTCGGTGCTTGTGTGGATTTGCTTGAACTTGAGGCTGTTGAGGTAATTGGGGAGGGCATCGTCTGTTGTGCTCTTGAGATCTGTGCACAGTATGTGTCAGTGTTTCGTGTTTATATAAATGTACATATAATGCATGCGTGGATTGCAGATTCCTGAACATTGAGCATCCCGCGTAACGTACCTGGCAGCGAGTGCACTGCGATTTTCTGAGTTGCCGACATGTTTGTTTTCTCAAAGTTGATGTGCACAAACTAGGTTAGAGAGATACCGGGAACAGACAGCTCAGAATCGCAGGGCCTAGCGCTCGTTTTCTTTGCGGAGGAGGAATTGGTGATGAGCGTTGCTCGTGGTGGATGGGACACCTTTCCACAAGGGCAAAGCGCGCGGACCCTGGTCGTCCCGCCGGAGCCTCAGCGGGCGGCGGAGTAGCTCTCGACTCTCGACCTTCGTTTCTGGGCCGAACGACAACCATCGACTTTGAACATCGCCCCTCCACCCTCCCTTCAACGTTCGCCCATCCCGCGCAATTCGCCTGTTCCCGCCAACCATGGGGCAGCCCGTAGTCCAGACGATCCATAGGGATCCCGCCCTGTTGTATGTTGTTCACGACCTGTGGTGGATGATGCATTGATGCGACGAAAGACGGCTGCTAATATTTCTACTATAGTTGGTGGATTCTACTCCCCATCACCGTCGTCATGGTACAGATCCATTTTCAACAATTTTCCATGATGCACCACAGTCTGACGCCCATCTCAAGGTCCTTACCGGTATCCTCCGCCACTACGCCATGACGCTGCTGCAATCCACGCCTAAGAAGCAAGACCTTCCCAAGATCCGCCAGCAGCGCTCGCTCGTCCGCGGCGTCAATCTGCGCACAAACGCGCACGTCATCTCGCCCGCCTCATTTGCGGCGCGCAAGGCATACATGGTACAGGCGTTCCAGGAGGGAAAGTTCCTCGCGGAGCCTGAGATGAGGGGGAAGCCTAGACCGAATCCCATGAGTGATCCTGCGGCAATGGAAGGCATGATGGGCATGATGAAGGGCCAGATGACGATGATGATTCCGCAGACGCTGATTATGGGCTGGATCAATGCCTTTTTTTCGGGCTTCGTTATTAGTAAGTGCTGATTTCCTTTGCTGAGGCGCCGGGTTGTGGAGAAATCAATGGCTTCTCGTATTCCAGAGCTTGCATCTCCAGGCCCTTGGGTCTGGGGTATTTTCAGCTGGCACCTCGGATCTATTGCTCTAGAATGTTTTAAGCTATGCCGACTTCCGCTCGGCTCGGCTCCTGTATACATGGGAAAGCGAGCGGTTGTTGATTTTGCGCTCTCGAGTCATGGCTTCGCATCGAATTGCTGCATCTCCCGTGCTGGAAAAGCAATATGGATATATGCTAACCGGCGCTACTCCACAGTGAAATTACCTTTCCCGTTGACGCCACAATTCAAGTCGATGCTCCAGTCTGGAGTCGGTACTCGTGACCTCGACGTTAGATGGGTGTCGAGTTTGTCCTGGTACTTCCTGACATTGTTCGGCCTGCAACCCGTCTATAACTTTATCCTGGGAAGCAACAATGGTACGTGTTCAGTAGACATTCGCCTGACTACTAGTTCAAGCTGACAGTGGGCCCTCAGCTGCCAACCAGGTTTCACAACAGATGGCCATGGCGAATCCAGGCGCGGGTGGTATGATGGGTCCCGAGCAAGACCCTGACAAGCTCTTCCTCAATGAAGCCGAGAATCTGGAGGTGCTGGAGCACCGATGGATATTGGAGGGAATCGAAGACCGACTGGTTGCCAAACTTGGAGCGTGATGTCGCTACATTGTGCTAGGTACTAGTAGCTGTCACTTAGCCCTGTAGTCAAGTGGCGTCCTTAAGTATCGAGGACTGGCCTAGAAAAATGATTTATCCAGCGACAACCATACCTTGTTTGGATTCCTGGCCGAAGAGGAGTGATTCCATGAGTGCCGTACATGATGTTCCAGTCGCACAACTTTGGGGGCAGTGGTGCCGTGGCTTGCGGACCAACATGGACGCCTACGGGACCAAATGCCAACCAAGGCATCTTGTGCGAGGGGACTAATCACAACAGCTTGAAACTTTCTCGACTTATGCACTGCGTCGCCTGATAATCTCCTGACAAATAGAAGAAACTCCTGATTGACGATAACCGCGTTCAGTGTGTCCACATGTCGACGCAGGGGTAACAGATGGTCCTCCAGGCGCGTTGTCCTCGACCTGAGAGGCGCATTGACCCGCAAGCGAGTCCTCCAGAGCCCATGTTGCCTGGCCGCCACTCGTCGGTCACCATCACAGCATGCCATGCTCCGCCCCCAATTGCGCCTTCGCCAACGCACCATACTGCCTAGTTTGTCAGGCAACTCCATCAAGTCGTACGGAATACACAAATGTTGAGACAGCCTAGGCGTACTCTTGTTACCTTCACCATACGGTATACACGGCCAACGTCACAGACGGATCCATCCTAAACAAGCCACGGGAAACACTGTCCGGGAAACCATGCTCTATCCTATCTCCATGTCCAAATAGAGTCGTCTTCGGCGAGACGCGCCCCTCATTCTGATGAGCTGTGCTGCGGTGAGCTCCAATCAAACATGCCACCCCTCCACCCTCTGATCCTCCACACTCCACCCACAATGGCAATGGCGCTTCCTCTTCGTCGGGTTCTTTGCTCCCCATCAGCCATCGCTTGTGCGATATAGGCCTCGGAACAATCGCATCCTTGGTGCCGGTCACCCGGGCGAGCAGCCCGGCAGCGACTGGCCACGAACCCTTATGTGCGGCCTCCCAAGTGAGATGTCGGTACTGTCGTGTAGGTGGTTCGTCCTCCGAATGCGCGTCGTCCGTTTACTTGTTCGTTTTTTGGCCCCCAACGGTCAAACTGGTGGGCCTGCGGGTTGACATCTTGAACGTGCGCATGGCCCGTACCCTCTTTCCGACACCTTCTGCAAGCTACGCTGTCCGCGGAACAGCTCATTGACTCAGGTTGGCTTCGTCGTATCGCCATACGGCAGCGATCGACCTAGACTAACGAGATTGCTTTTTTGATTTGCAGCTCCACCCTGGGGCTTACACTCTATGCGCCCGTGACGGCAGACGGCAGGAGCCAGAGCCCTGTAAAATAGGTGGTGGCTGACAGCTGGTCAGGGGGCCCGGTCCACCGGTGAAGCTGAAGCGCGCAAGATGAACACACGCCAAGGCAACTCTACTTTTATTGGTGGCTGTGATGCGGCTCTGCGAGGACTCTATGGCATAAAACACTGTGGACCATGAGAGCCTGAGGGTGGAGGTACACCATAGTACCGGAATTCGAGGGCAGTGCAACCCAATAGCAAACTACTCTGGTTTGCTGCCTTGGATCTCCACCACCTTCCTGATACTTGCTCCGCCTCTTTTGGTTTTGCTATCTTTTATCTGGTCCCCTTATATTCTTGCGGTTTGACTTGCAGACTGTGCCATCGCAGAGAAAGTGATATCTTGAACTAGGGCATCTCTGGATACGGTTAGAGTAAGCTAGCAATGTCGAGCAATATCAGAAATGTTTATTCTAACATTTTCACTCAGTCCAACTATTTTTCAACCCTACATTCAGATTTTGTCCCAATGTTCACCATGGACACCCGCCAATTTGGAGACTTGTCGCAAACACACATGGAGGAGTCTCGCTTTACCTGGAACACAAACCACGACAGCTACATGTACCCATACAAGCAGCATGTAGTAAATTATCCCTCGGAAGAAAACATCTGTTTCGATGACTTTGGCGAAGGCAGCATCAGCGTTCCACCTATGCAGCGCTTCATGGACGACATGTACCCCTTCAGCAGCGGCATGTTAGAGGCAAACATGCCCCTATACAACCAGTACACAGCACATCTAGAGCACCAATGGCACCCATCGGACAGCCTTCGACATCCTTCCCCTGACTGCACATCCTCTGGCAACACCAGTCAGAATACTCAGGACGAGCTGCGGTCTCCGTACATGTACCATGCTACTCCATGCACTGGTCCTATGGAATACCCTCAGACCTCGTTCCCCTGTTTATCGATCGAGCAATTTCATAATGCTCCTTACCAGGTCGACGTTCCGCCGTTTCCAGGTAACTGTACCCTTCGTCAACTCGAATACACCCCCGTGACGGAGGCAGTTGCAGAGGAAGTCGAAGATGGTAATGTCAAACAAGAGGCCGTCCCTAACCACCAGCAAGGAACTGTCAAGACAGAAGATACAACAGAGTACACAGCCTATGCAGACTCGGCAATTGGCCTATCCACACGAGACGCTCAATCAGTTGAACCAGTCGAACCAATCGATTTCCCTGAAGAGTCCATTTCAGATTCCGAGTATAGTCCGACGTCTAGTCGGTCTAATAAGAGGAAAAGGTCGACAGTGTCGAGCAATAGCTCTAGTCGTACATCAAAGCGTCGCGCACACACTCGCAAGGACTCACAAGCGTCAAGCCCTACGACTTCGATCAAATCCGAGAAGAAACAACGCCGGACCTCAAAAGCCTCCCAGAGTCCTATCGACCTGAGCACCCACCCTGACTATCGCCGCCCCTTCCCTTGCCCATTCGCTGTATACGGCTGCAAATCCGACTTCGTCTCCAAGAACGAGTGGAAGAGGCACGTCAGTACCCAACACATTAAGCTTGGCTACTGGCGCTGCGATCTCTGCCCGCCGTCGGTAGACCCAGACGACGACGCTCTATACCACAACGACTTCAACCGCAAAGACCTCTTCACCCAGCACCTTCGCCGCATGCACGCCGCCCCCAAAGACAAGTCTCCCCAATCTACCAAGGAGTACCCTGTCACCGAAGCCAACCTCTCCGAGCACCAGAACCGCTGCAACCGCTGGCTACGCGACCCGCCTCAGCATTCCAGCTGCCTCTTTTGCAACTGCGAATTCGAAGGTGCAAACTCTTGGGATGAGCGCATCGAGCATATCGGACGCCATCTTGAGAAGGATCATGCGAGTCGAGCTGATATGCTTGATTGCGCTATGTGGTATAAGGATACGAGACTTGAGTCTTATTTGCTCGATGAGGGTCTCATTGTACGAAATGGAAGTGGTTGGAGCATTGGTGATGGTAACCCCTGCAGGGTTGCTATTGTAGAAAGTGATGTGGAGTCTGAGGAGGAGTGAAGGGAATAGCCAAATAGTTTTTTGTTTTGTTTGTATCGCAGCTCATTGCGAGCGACGTTTGTTTTGAGGATTTTGTTTGGAAAGACATGATGCTGGTGCACGGTCATTATAGCTGGATACCCCCTCTCCCTTTTTTCTGGTTTTTTTTCTCTTCTATTTCCAACCCCGAGATTAGATCGCGTTGTCGAATTTGATAGTATATCTCATCATCATCACCCGAATATATGATTCTCCTACAGAGTTTTGGATTTTGCATATCTTGACGCGCGGTTGAAACAACAATGTACCATTCCTCCAGCTCCCAGCCCCCAACATACCAAATCATCCTAACAGCCCACACGAAATAGTCCCCCGTATCATCGTACCTTCGTCCAGAATCCGTAATCCCACACCCGCCTATCTCCCTACCCACGCCCGACCCCACCTCCACTATCTGCCCCCCATCCCTCCTTCCCCCCTTCGTTCACCGACCACGCACTAACCCACCGTGGCTGAGCAAAGACAGCCCCACCCGCATATACGAGTTCCAACCTGCACACTTACACATGCGTCCCTGTACGGTTTAGTCTTGTTTCGCGTGCAAAAAGTGTGTAGTCCTTCGTTGCTGCGCCTCTGTGCGCCCCGCTTTTGGTCTTTCGGGCGCGGACTTTGGGTGTGGTTGGGGTGTGAGTCAAAGGAGGGGAGGGAGAGGGGAGGTAGGATTGAATTGAGAAGGATGGGTGGGAGAGGGGGGGGTGTTTGGGTGTTGTTGGTTGTGTTGGAGACGCTGAATATGTGGAGTGGGAAACTTGCAGTCTTGGTGAAGCTGGAAAAAGTATGTACCCTACTTTACCAGGGGCGTCTGAGAATTTGCTGAAAGCAAATGCAAAAGTATTTAATCATTAATCCGTAAAAAAGGCTACATAATGGTTACAAGCAGTGAAGCAGAATCTAGTACATCACAACTCATCCTTGTATTCCTCCTCACTCCCCTCTTGGACGTCTTCTTCATCTTCCTGCTGAGTATCCTTCTTTCGTTCCTTCTCTCTTCCCATACCCGCAGTCTCCTCGTCTCCATCCTTGCTCGAGTCCTTCTTTTTCTTCTTCTTTTTCTCGCCGACGTCATCCTCAGTATCAATAATGCCTCTTAGTTCCCTGCCTTGACGCGTAGTTGCAAGCACCAGTTTCCATCCCTTCTTCCCTGCCTTCTTCTTCAGGGTGTTCTTGAACGTCTCTACATCTTTGAGATTGCCTATGTCGTGTTTCTTCATCTCTTCTTTGGTCATTTGCTTTCCGTCGCTGCTGGCTACAACAATGAAAGATTCCTTGCCACCACCCACAACGAGCGACTTCTCGATGACTTTGCCCTCGCTACCGACAAGCTTCTTTGCGCCGACTTCGATACCACCAATGATAGGTCCGCGCTTTGTCGAGCCTTCAAGGCCAGTTGTAATGTCACGGAGCGGGTTCGTATTGGCATCATCAGCAGCTTTTTGGGCGGCTATGAGCCGCTCAGCTGCAGCCAACTTGGTGGATTCTTGCACGGCAATCCAGGACTCCACTTCTGACTCTGCTATGACGGGCTCGCAGATGATGGGGTGAGCAAGTTTCTCCTGTGGTGGTGTGAATGCAACGTCGTGGCAAAGACGGGGTGTGTCGACGATCATCAGGTACGAGCATGTGCTCGTTTCCTTGACCATGGAAATGCGGTCAGCCGACTGCGGATTGCAGTGGAACTAGATGTTGCATCAGTATGACAAGGCATAATGCAATCGCGTCGGAGTACACACCTGAACATCGATTTTGCGTGGTTTACCGGTCAGATCGCACTCGGTGCCGTCGGATAACCGTTGGACCATGTACCTGCTCGAGCCTTTTGTCTCCAGCCTGGGCAACTCTAAGCCCTTTGCTTCGGCATCCCCCTCATCCTCATCACCCTCGTCGTCAAAGCCCTCCTTGCTGCCTTGCTCATTGCCGAGCGTCTTGCGTGCATTCGCTTTCTTGCTCTTCTCTTCTGTAGGAAATCTTCCAAGCACAAAGCTGTGTACGCTCTCGTCTTCTACTGGCGGGTATATGGGAACTCCGCGACCCGGTGGAAGTTGATGGAATTGTTTGACCTCGCCCTTGTAGCAAAACCTATAACTCCACCAGCCGCTCAGATAGTATATGCAGTTGTCTCGCATGCCCTCAAGCAGCTCCCATCCACGGTCCGTTGCGCGTACAAGCTCCTTCTCTTCCTCTGCTTTTGCATCCTCCGCAGAGGTTGTGTCATTCTGGGCGACTTCTTCAGGTATTATAGGTATGCTGCACAAGTATCGTTGTCCGTGTAATACTACTGGTTCGTAGGTATGTTCCAGCGCATCGTCTATGGGTGTTGTGTCCGCAACCGGCTTATCGCGCTTGGAGAGTTCCTGTGTTTCTTGTGATCCTGGTGTCGCTGAGCTCGAGCTGGGTGATCCGCTTGCAAGAAGGGAAGTCGCTTCATTCTCGGTGATAAATGTGTCTGGCCATAAAACCTCATACTCGGGGCATGTTAGCGTGTAGTTCTATGATGTCGGTCATAGTGCGTCATACCTGGGGAAAAGCGAGTAAGTCATCAAAAACACTGAACGCATGTTGGCTCGCGAGCGCGATGCGCAACACGGCCGGAAGCGCCCATAGACCTCTCATGTTTGTAGTTGCCGGGAGCGCCGAGGGGCGTCAAGTCAATTGAGGGCACACTACGTGGAGCTGGTTGCGGACTTCTTGTAGTCTGGTTGGAGCCAGATGTCACTTCCGTCGAGCTATGCCGCATCGGGTAAGACCCATGAGAGATGGGCAGTTCGCACATGTTTCGAGTATGTTTCCACCTTTCCCCACACCCATACATGGATTTCGATGATGTCGCTCTCCCTTATTGAAAAACAAGTATGACAAATGCCTCCATATAATCGTGTTTGATGGCTTCCACTTGGGAGATTTGAATGGGTGAGGATTCTCCACCGACCTGTCCTATTAATGGGATAGTGAATTTGGACCACCACATCAGTGGTAGAATACACTGATATTCGCACTTGAAAGCACCATATCTGCTTCTATTAGCGTGTCTCGCAAGGCGAGGGTTGTTCTGTCGTTTATTGGTTGATGATAGACCTGACATGACGCGGGGTAGGAGCAGTACATATACGTACACAGGGCCCGCCATTCAGCTAGCCTCTCGAGCACCATGCCAAACTATACGCCCAGTCCTATGGTAGGCCTCGTACCATTATAACTCAATGTGGATAGAGAAGCATGTTCCTCTCACCTTCAAGTGCGCTGAGAGTGCCAACAAAACCGACATATCCTGGTGATCCGCTTCGAGCAGGCGAGATCAGAGTATTGTGGCTGCAGCCTGGCAGATGGGCCGACCCCATCGTTTGCGAACTTTCCAACGCCAAGATCGAATTCGCGCGATACCGAGCACTATCCTATGTATGGGGCTCACAGTTGCACCAGCGATCCGTCCGACTTAATGGCCGTAGCTATCCTGTGACCTTGAACCTGGAGAGTGCGTTGAGACACCTACGAGCAAAGTACAACAGAGTATTAGTCCTTTGGGTTGATGCGTTGTGAGTACCGTTGATCCTCATGTTTCTACAGTTCAGGTCTAACCCTGTCGTGCCTTTTGTTCCAGATGTATTGACCAGGCGAATGGCGAAGAAAGGACTCACCAGGTCCAACTCATGGGACACATTTATGCAAGTTGTCAAGAATGTCTTGTATACCTGGGACAGAGCCTTGATAGCACTGTTGGAGCATTGACTGAGCCAACATCTATTCTAGACTTTGGGAAATATCGCACGCATGCCCATGCTCAAACCACCTTGAAGCCAAGTGACAAACCAGGACTATACGACGTGTTTGAGTTCTTCTTCAAGTTGAGCGAGTCCAGCCACTTGCATGAAATATTGCCCGCTCATGGTGGGCAGGAAGAAGCAGGCACGAGTTCCGAGGGTCACAAGAGCTACAAGAACAGTATGCATTTTTTCGAGGCACTGCGAATGTTCATGCATGCTCCATTTACGCCCTGGTGGTCCAGAATATGGGTAATACAAGAGGTGGCACTTCCTCCCCAAGTTGTTATTCTGTACGGTACAATCTCTGCGCCATGGATAATGTTCGCTCGGGCTGCAAAGGAGTACAGAGTTCACAGTAGTTCGTGCTGCCGTGAGTTTCTCCAAAAATTGCCTCGAGACGAAGAAGCTGTCGTGCGCAACAGTCTCGAGACCATGTCAAAGATAGAGGATCTTCGACGGCGTTACCATACTGATCAGTCAGAAACGGCTTACTTGAGCTTGTTGGACTTACTAAGGCTATTCCGAGATAGGAAGGCATCTGACCCCAAAGACAAGGTGTTCGCTCTCCTTAGCATGGCAGAAGTTGTGCCTGGTAGAGAACCCTTGACACCAGATTACTCACTGAGCGAAAAAGAAGTCTATCGCCAAGCAACGCTGGAATCAATATACTCGACCAAATCGCTTTCAGTATTTAGTACGGAACTGGGAAGAAAGTTCAGAAGTGACTTGCCATCGTGGGTTCCGGATTGGGGTGCGCCGGGAAGTCATACATATCATTTGCGAGCAAAAGCGATAAAATACTACAAGGCATGCGAAAGGGAAGCCACACCGGATTCAATAATACCGACGAGAAGCTTCAAATACATTTTTCGAGACTCATCTATGCCATTTATGGGAAGTCTTGAAGAATTGAAACTCAGCTTACAAGGCATGAGAATTATGCGAGTGGAGGAGGTGGGCGAGATCATGTGGGGAGACGACCCTGCTAGCAGCCGGCACACGCTCTTACAATGGTGTCATATGTGGCTGCGATATGCGAAACCGTTCGGGGAGGAGAGGCTTTCGCTGCATACTGAGAGTATGCAGCCATCACAGAGAGTTCCCCTGTTCAAGTTCTGGAGGACCATGTGCGCCGATGTAATCCACGAACACGCAACCACAGGGAGCACACGGAGAGTACTGCCGGAAGACATGTCCACTTTTGAAACATGGATGAGATATTCGAACATGTCACCTTTCAGCAGTGCAGAAAACAGAGAGAAAGCTGGGGTTTGGTCTAGCAAAGCGGAGCTGTGGAGTCTTTTCCTCTTCGTATGGCCGACAGCACCGGACAAGGGCTTGTCAGATGCACCAGACATCGTGTATATTCCCATGCACTTGGAGGACCGCAACCTTGTGTACAGTCTACTGCTTGACTTAATGCAAACCTCCGGACTGAAGATGTCAGTCCTTAAGGGGATGATTGGGGAAGGTGGCGTATGGAAAATGATTTACCAAGATTTGGTCTTACAACTCACAACCGCTTACGGAACTAGTGTAGGCTTGTATGCGGACAGAGAAAAGAGTCAGATTCCTAGTATAGAGCGGTCGGTGAGCATCGCGACATTGTCGCGACGGCTGATCTGCAGTGATGGGCTGATCGGGCTGGGCCCAGCGGACATGGCTGTTGGAGACCAACTATTCCTTCTGCCTGGAGGAAAGACACCATTCGTCTTACGTCCACTGGGCCATGGCGTGTTTGATGTGGGTAGGGAGGAGACAGTGTATAGGCCTAAGTACGAGATCATCGGCGACTGTTACTTGGATGGGTGGATGGATGGAGGCGCAAAGGTCGACTCACGAAAGTGGGTCGACATTGTGATTGAGTGAACTGCTGTCAAATGATTGAGCCAAGGAGACTTTTGAATAGCAACAGGCCGTCATGCTTAGTATATACAAGGCCTGAAATGTCATCGAGGAGGGGGTTGTATAGTGAGCAGCTAGATGACGTCAATAGACGCGTAAGTTGCTCTTTACGCGGTGACGCGAAAACACGTGACTGAACTCATGAGGCGAAATCAGACAGCGGATTGCTGCCTTGCGCAGGGGGCGACCCACCTTTCCCGGAAGACAGCCAATGACGGGACGCGCGCGGGCCGCTCCCAAAGTCTCACAAGCCGCGCGACAGGTCCAAAGTTACTTTCATTCCCTTTTGACGTGTCGAGTCTTCGTCTGCTTTGGTTTTGTTGCTAGCAAGGTGTGTATCGGCCTCAATTGCAATCGCGCCAAGGACTAGTCTGCGAGGCACTTTCACGCTGACCCTCTGTCATAGAGCCTGTTCCTAGGGCAACCCTCCGCCGCATTCCACCCCACCCCATCCTATTCCAATCGTTCCACTCCTTGCCTTGTTCCAGAAGGCAAACGTCCGCCTCGCCGTGTCGACGTATGCGAACCGTATCTGCCGTCCCTGCTTTTGCTGTTTGACTGCTGCCTACCAATACTCAACCCGTCAGTGCGTACTCCATTTCGCTCTTCGGCGTCGCATCGATTCCAGGACGCGAATGAGATATTCACCGCGACAGTATAAGGAGGCACACATTTGAATTCTTGAAAAAGTGCTGGCCTGAGCAAAGTCTCTGCCTAGTGCACTACAGAACGACTGGCTATAGCAGAGCACGCAAAAGAAACGTCAAGGAGCGGACTTGTCGCAGCTTGATTCTCATGACTCACTGCTACGTCCCATTGACTTGGAGCACGTAAAGAAACTATCGCGCAATTTCGAGGGCTAGATTCAAGCCGCCCTGCGTTGTGACCCAAGGTCGCTTTCCGTCTGCTTCATTCACCCTCTACGTGCACGGCCCCATATCGTGCCTACGTTGCCCAAGTGATCGCCTGCTTTGCTTTCAGCGCAAGCGACAGTCCCCGCTAGACTCCCATTGCGCGATACCCCGCAACGCGCTATCTGCCCTCCACAGATACATAAATTGCCCTCTCAACCCCTCCGTTTGCTCTACGGACATTATTCTGAGCCACAATGGAGAATGAGCCTTCCCAGCCCACTCAACCCTCCACACAGCAAGTGCTGGACCCTCGTCGCTTAGGTAGGAACAACTCGGGCTTGAACGACTGTGACATCTCAGATGTCCTCGTCATTCTTCATCCAGCTACACCGACTGCCATAAAGATTGTCGAGCATGCGGCACAGCACAGGCCCGAGCATGTACTGTTCCGGAATTCTGTCGACTCCATGGGCGAATCAATTAGTGATGCTGAGGAGCAAGAAACTTTCATAATAAACCCTCATCCAGACCAATCTGGACGCAGTTCTCGTGCCGGGGCCGACCTTGCCCTTCGCCTCTCGTCCGCAAACAAGTTGAAGTTCAAGCAGCTTGGCTTCATATTCGGGCGCAACCATCAGAGCGCCGACATCATCTTTGGCCAGGATTCTGGAAAGAGGATCAGCAACCAGCACTTCCGAATCTACATCAACATGGACGGTCTGCTTATGCTCGAAGACATGTCCACAAACGGCACTATTGTTGATGAAGCCCTTCTCAAGTGCAAAGACGCACGCTTTAGCAAGATCCGAATGCTGAGCTCCGGCTCCATCATCTGCATACAGAACTCCAATGATGCGGAGATGATCAAGTTCATCGTCCGCATTCCTTCACGAGTGTCTCATCTGGAGCGCTTCCGGGAAAACCTCCGTAACTTCATTACAGAATGTACGCCTGACTTTGGTGAGGAAAAGAGCAAAGTTGTGCAACGAGTGGCGAAACAGTATGGTGGGCCTTCCATGAAATGGGATGGCGGGAAATACTACAACATCATCGGTGTGTGTCATCGGTTCCCAAGTCTGACCTATACTAACCCCAGGCAGGCCAAATTGGCAAAGGTGCTTTTGCTACCGTCTATCAGCTCGCAGTGAAGATGACTGGTAAACTGCTAGCCGCAAAAGAACTCGAGAAGCGGCGGTTCATGAAGAACGGCATGCTTGATAAGAAGATCGACAACGAAATGAAGATCATGCAACATCTTCGGCACCCTAATATTGTAGAGTTTGTCGAATACTACGACCAAGGCGACTATTTGTATATCATCATGGAGTATGTCCGACAAGGTGACCTACAAGGCTACCTCAATCAGCATGGCTCGATAAAGGAGGAGACTGCCAGGAGCATGGCTCAACAGATTCTGAATGCCCTGAGCTATCTGCACCGAGCTAAGATCACTCACCGTGACATCAAGCCTGATAACATTCTCATCGCCGATCTTGATCCTTTCACCGTCAAGCTTTCGGACTTTGGCTTGTCAAAAGTCGTCAAGCACGAGGAAACATTTCTCAAGACCTTTTGCGGTACTTTGTTGTACTGCGCTCCAGAGGTTTTTCCTGATTTCAACGGCCAGTCAAAGGGCACCAAACGCCGGCGTGGAGCCAAGGTGTACCATTCCTATAGTTCCTCGGTCGACATATGGTCCTTTGGAGGTGTCCTCTGGTATGCACTCTGCGGCGAGCCACCATTTAAGGGCATTGCCGACGCCACCGGTGAGGCCATGTACAATAACATTATGGGCACCCCACTCGATCCAACGCCACTCCGTAAAGCAGGTGTTTCTGCAGCCTGCATCGACCTCTTAACGCAAATGCTTCGAACAGATCCTTCCGAACGGCCGACTGATCGTGATTGCCTGAACCATCCATGGCTCAAGGACGGCGCCATAATCCCTGCTGATCCCGCCTTGCAGTCCATCATCGAAGAGGAGGAAGAGGAACAGGGAGAAGAAGCTGAGCAACAATTGTCGCAACTCAGTCTTCAAGAAGAAGAGATTCCAGAGTCGGAAGACGAATCTGATGTTCTCTACGATGACCAACTCATGGGTTTTGTCACAGAGCGACAGCCAAAGCGAGTCCGTGCCGACCCTCTATACCCCCGCCATCAGATCAGGGATCGCGACGAATCTAGTATGGAGCCTTCTTTTGCTTCATCTCATTTAGTCCCTGAGGGTGAGAGTTTTCAGGTTATGCCGACACCCAGGCGGCCTCTCTTTGGTGAAATTGGACAGTCTGCTTTAGAAAGCTCAGGAGTACTAAGTGCGCACGCCAACGATGCTCTATCACGCGAGGAATCTATTCAGCTTGCGCAGAATGACGGCGCTGCAGAGTCGAGCCATACTGAAGATGGCTCAGACTATGAAGGACCTTTCACCGCACCCGCACGTCTAGATCGTGGTGTGTCGTCTTCTAGTCTATTGGGCACCGAATCTTTAGTAAGAGATCTTAACATGACATCGCCTCATTCTCCTGTCTCCCGAACGCAAAGTCCCGCCATGCCGGCAACACCCAAAACACCAGAAGTCGTTCAGCACAGCTCTCTGGACCAGTCATCTAAAGAATTCAGTCAAGTGAGTGAGCCGACTCCAAGAGCACGGCCATCCGGGATGAACCGTCTGATTGAGCTACCGGTTACTGCATCCTACTACTACGACCCAAGGGATCCAAATACACACAATCTGGAATACGCTTCTAAGATAAGCGGGCATGACTTTTCATCCATCAATCAGGATGCCGCAATTGAGACATCTGCATACCCAGATACAGTAGGGGTGTCACGGACAAGCGAAACATCAGCAGCGTCAAGTGCTGCTGCAGCTCCTTCTCCTGCTGCTGAGATACCGTCTGTCCCCGCTGAGCTGGATTTCCGCCCACCTCCAAGGCGACTGGGCAAGCTTGTTGCAACGCCAGATTCGTTTGCTCCCAACCTCACACTGAACATCACTCAAAGTAAGACTTCGTGGGGTCGTCTTGCAAACAACACTATTGTATATGAGCATAGTCGCGACACGCGTGTCCCAAAGACTGCATTCATCATCTTCTTCTATTCGCCCAGTGGTCAGTCCCAGGGGACTGTTGACGATCTCTCCCAGCAAGGCAAAGATTGGACTAGTTTGCAGGACCTGCACGTCGGCATTTGGACATGCGCTACGCACGGCATCTCTATCAATGGCAAGCATCTCAAACAGCAAGACGAAAAGAAGCGTGCGTTGTTTGGTCATTTGCACACTGGCGATATTGTGCAGGTCTACCACGACTCGCGCGGAACCGAGTGCCTCAAGTTCCAATGCGAATTCTATCTTGGTTCTGGCAAGGATCCACGACCGCCGGGCAAGAGCTTCAGTACACTCATTGGGAACAGGCTTTCGCAATAAGTCGGTATTTAGTGTTGCTTGATCTCCACTTCCATATCAGGGGATCCCATTGTATTTTGTTTCTTTCTATTGGCTTCTACATGACCGTATTACCGCCGGTGTTTGGCAATCTCTTGTACTACCATTTTTTCCCTTCATCACCATTATCATCACTTTCACATCCCTTTTTTCTTTTCTTACAATAGCAGCATTACATTGTCTAAAGAGTGGGTACAGTTCCCTAGACTGGAAATGCCATGGAGACGGGAACAATTGTCGTTTCTTTTGGCATCGAGGGAAAGATTACGGGTCTGGTGGGTTATATCACGGGGGGTACTTTCTTACATGATTTAGATGTGTTGGTTTCAGAGCGCCATTGAAGATGCGGTGATTTGGTACCAACGTAGTTTAGTACTAAAATGGCACAAAATGAACGAATATATTTCAAACTTGTTGGAGCACCATGCTGTGAGGGTCGTCCGGCAAACTGATGTCTTTTTGGAGATTCTAACAGGCTCGATACATCAACACCAACTTCGAGTTTTTCTAGAATAGGTGTATTTTAGCTCTATATATACAAACAAACCACGAGAAATCGATTGCAACTACTTTCAAAACGTGCAACCCACGCGCTGTGCTGCTA